CATCTTCACCGCAGTCGCCAAGGCGCGGGTTGATGGTATGGACCGGACGTACCTGGAATGGAAAGACCGATATTTTCTTCGTGGACCCCGGACTGAAGGTGAGCGCTGGCGGTTACATCGAGCAACTCGAGAAGAATATCCTCCCCACATGTCGTCGCCCGTACCTTCTTGGAAACTTTGTACTGCTACAGGATTGGGTGACACCACATGGAATCGAAGGGCGTTGGAAAAACTCTCGCCTACTTGGAATGGAAGGGCGTTGAGTACCTGAAGAAGATGGAATATCTAAGCAGGTCACCTGAACTAAACCCCTCAATTACCTGGTTCGGGCGGAGTTCAATAGGGTGGTCTACAGTGGCGGAGAAATCAACGATCTCGCTGAACTCAGGCACCGAATCACGGTCGCGTGGCAGAATCTCTCGATGGCGCTCCTCCAGAAGGCTGTGGCGGAGTATCATAATAGTATTTAATATGCTCTTTAATATGGTGGTAGAAATGTCCGATCAGAATTTAATAAATTATAAAGTGTAACTTATAGCGCCTCGAAAGTCAAGGGAGAAAAATGTCTTTCTTGCCCCCCCCCCCCGTATATTGATAGGGTGCTAAGGGCTTCGTTGTTTGAATATGCAAGGACTAAATCTTGATCAAAAGGACCATTGAAAAGGGCCCACGAGATGTAATGAAAGACTGGCGTGCTGCTCATGGAGGAACCAGTCAAATGAAGAATATTCGGCACTATTCAACTATTACTACCCCAGTTTTCCGAAAACGGGCTGGATCTTGATCGACTTTTTTCTGCGGGGCAGATTTGGCTGAAAGTTGGGTTCTAGGGGTAATCCGACCTGCTGAACACGAATATCACATCCGTTCCTCCCGAAAATGCCTGGCGCCCGCGCCACAGGCGCCGGCGCCAAAGTACCCTGGATCACCAAATCCGCTGAAAACTTGTACCCAGGGGTAGTTCGACCTCCTGAACACGAATATCACATCCGCTCGGCCTGAAACTGCTCGAAGATCGCGCCACGGGCGCCGGCGCCAAAATGCCCCAATACGCTGGCGCCTGTGGCGCGGGCGCCATGCACTTTCAGGCCAGATGGATGTTATATTCGTGTTCAGGAGGTCGAATTACCTCTATAACCCGAATTTCAGCCAAATCCGCTTTCGTAGAAAAAAGTCGATCAAGATCCGCCCTGTTTTGGCAAAACTGGGGTAGTAATAGTTGAATAGTGCCGAATATTCCACAACTGAACGCAGCGACAGCGGTGAAACAAATGGAGAGTGACTGACCTAACTCAGTGGAATCCTTGAAAGAGGAGATTGTGAAACTCTATTCGAGAGGTATCACTGTTCAAAACAAAATAGTCGCCGCAGGTAATGAATCTCTCATTAACGTCGACCGAAATGAAAACCATAGTTCAGGCTTCTCGAGAAGAAACTTTGTATGCAGTTATGGCCCATGCGAACAGAATGAATACAGTTATGACCCATGCGAACAGAACAATGCCCAGATAATTTTCTCAACTTACTGGGATCGCGTTGAGAATATCGGCAATGGTGTACTTTGATTGGAACGTCCCAGGCTTGCTCAACAAAGACTTACTGTGTTCCGAGCGCGAGCCTAAATCCTCCTATACATATACGACTCGACTAGTCGACACATAATCTGTTGTATACTTTTTAAAATAGACTAAGCTCTCTTCTGCCTCATCTGTAGAACGTTTATATAAAACTTTACATTTTGTTCGGTGGAAGAATTCGCAGATGGGCTAGTATTTCAGTCGGCCTCGGCTCCGGGGTCTGCATATTGTGGAGGGTGTGACAATTCTGAGATCTGAGAAAGAATGGAGATTTCTAGTGTTTTGGCGTAATATATCGCTTACGATAAATAAAATCATTAGCTCTAGTTGCTCCTTATCCATTTGTGTGTACTACATTTGTAGGAAGGTAAGAAGCTGCAATTATTCATAGCCGTGAAAAGATCGGCAAGGCGGATGCTGGTACAGAGCATAGCCGGGTATGTGTTCATTTTACGATGCTTGTCATCATTTAGTTCTCTATTTTTGTTAATATTCAAGAGCCAATTCCACATTTGTTAAGTGGGCCAGGCCAAGCCTACCGTCTTGACATCGGCACTGGTGGGCCGCTCCTGTCTGCCATCCTGGAAAACTGAACGCACCCCGTTAGACGGCGGTTTCTTGGGAAAAACTGGCAAGAAATTTTTGGGAATATTATAGAAAGTTGGAAGTTGGTAGAAAGTTTGGAAAAAAGCAAGGTAAGGTGTGAGAGGGGGAAATCGAGAGAGGTGAGAGGCTGCCATGTCAGCACACCATTTCTGCCAATTACGATGGTGTACCCTTATTCTAAGGTTGGCTAGATGAGGGACTTCCAGCCTAACGCC